CTTATCTAATTACTCACTCAATTACGAACCTAGTTACATAGTTAGTTGGTTGTAACAAAACAACTAAACTATAAAGTCCGAACAAAAACCAATCCACTCGCCCTGAAGGCATTAACTGATATTGCCGAAAATAGCTGGGCTAAAGGAATGGTTACCAGGATAGTTGCGATCAACAGTGTAAGTAAGCATGCACAAACTAATGAGTGACACCCAACAACTAGTTATACTGCGGCATTTTGATCTCACGAAGTAATAACCACCAGCCATTGGGGGAAGGCCCTTCGTACTCGCTAACCATAACGGTAGAGTCTTGGAAATTTTCGTTGGTGTGTTACTCGCAGGCGTTTGTCCGATTCAATTACTGCGATCAGGTAGCAGAATTCTTTAAGATTTGTGTGTGTGTGGTACTTCCTTACGCCGAAGTCCACCTTGTTAAGAATTCTTTAGAATTTGGGGTGTGTGGTACTTCCTTACGCCGAAGTCCACCTTGTTATTACCTGGCTAATCCGAGCGCAAGCTCTACAGAATGGTTGACTTGTTGCGTGAGTGCACTTGACTGGAAACTCCAAATTATGATTGACGTCAGTGTGAACAAATTTCAGACGATATTTTGAGATATACCGTCTGGTTGTGTGGGATACACACACAAAAACTTCCTCAATCAAACATCCACGGTAACTAGAACGCAAAATAAGCTGGAAATTCATGCACCGGGAATCGTCATATATGTTAAAAACCAAGAAATGAATTCTGATAATATTGACAATCCACAAATAGTTGCAGTCCTGTCATTTACCGGATGTAATAAGCTGTCTGAATATTGGGTGTTATATGAATATTGGGCATATCTAGATATTTTTGGTTAGATTATAATGATTAGACATTAAAACGGTAAAACTAAATTTGGTAAATTTGACGACAAGATTACCTTTTCTACTGTTCTGTTTATTAAGAGAACGGAAACACCAGTGACCCCAGTTTCAACCGGAGTAAAATGACAAGCGTTGGGGCTCTCTGCATAATATGGAGGGCTAATAAACCAGACAACCTTCCTACGGACTTGATCTTGTATAAAATAAAAAAAGCCGCATTACAAATATAAAAAAACAAATATGAGAGCAAACTTCGGATATTGTTCAGAAATGAATTCTGCAAATACATAGAGCTCTTGTGATGTCGGTGAAGAGATCCAACCTATTTTGAACTGAGATTATCAAATTTATGACTATCAAGGTATTCTAGCCCAAAGTCAATTACCGATCTCTACAAGACGAATCCAGATTAGGTGATCTAAAAGCATGCATGCTTGTAATTCATTACTCCACGCAACAGACCCAACACCTTATTTTTCTTGTCGGTTTTTCTTCATTCAATGGAAAAATGAATTTGCCACAAAGTGCAACTCAAGATTGAGAGGTGTAATTAAGGTGAGCATGACGAAACTCATAGCGGATTACGCTACGGCTAACGTTAAAATGAGCACATCCGTGACCAGATACGTCACAGGCAAATAAGGCTTAAGAATACGAACTGTGAAAAAGAGAGCAGCGCGGTGACTGCAAATAAAAAGTTACTGTACATTAAAATAACTGGTAACAACACAGGCGGATATATAAAGCAACGTTTCCAGCATTTAAACATCTACACGGTAGTATTTCGGTGTGTACTAATTTAATGAAAGTTAGGGATTACTCATATATAAATAATAAGTGAATCGATGAGAGTCAAATGTAGCCAACCGCAGCTCTTTGGGACAGCAAAAGATCTAGAGGGGTCATAGAATGTTGAACTGAGGTTAGTTATCTTCGTTGTTCAGAGTCGGCAAACATTTTGACCTAAACCGTTGAAACAAAAAACGCTTAGTATTTAACATCAAAAGTAGTGGAGTCCAATTGCAATACCACAACTTGCGGCAGTCCAGTATTAGGTTTTCATCAATTTTTAAATTCCTGCATGTTCTGAACATGTCTGTTTGAGAGTGTGGCAAAGCGAATGAAAGCGAAAAATGCAGAAGCTAAGTGGGCTTACTGGGCAATGTTTTGGAACTAATGCAAAAAACAGATCTTTCAGATGGACTGAAAATCGAGCTGTGTTTTGTGAACCATCTTTATTTGTCATTTGGAAATCAATTGGCATGTGCCCAAAAGAACTCTGAGCGAAAAATATGGATGGAACGTATATTTGTATTTTTGTTTCTGTTTCGTAGGCCCTGAAAGACTTTCTCTAATTTATGCAATATGATGTGAAAATGTGTTTGGGGTTTTTTAGCCTCAACCAAAAGGTAAAATATATAAGCACATGAATTTACTCGCTTTTATAGTGGCAATAATCTTTGCTGAATACTTGTTTGCACCAGTACCAAAAGGGTTTTTTCCTGACCGAATTTGCACAATCCCCCTTATAGTAGTGTTTAAAAGGTCAAGGTTTCTTCAAATCCACGCATCCAGTCCAATCTTACCGCAGGAACAAATAAACTATCCAACGACTGAATTATTCTCCTCATGGGATTGGTTTAGCATCACTCTAGGTGGAGAAATAGTCATCCCGTGGAAATTTAGTTTAGGCATACACATTGTAGGATACTTCGACCTATTCAGGCAAGCCCACTTGAGTGACGCGCAAGATCACAAGCCAGAAATTGTGAATTCACAAGATTTATCAAAAAATGCGGTACCACATGTGTAAAATACATAATAAGAGGGGTACAAAACTCAAATTAGGGGTGTCTTTGTCCAAACTGTTTCAAGAAGCAGTGCAAGTCAAAAGAAAGCCCGAGGAAAACGGTTAATCGATCTTAGTTTGCAACACACGCCTGGGCACAACACGCGGTAACACAAAGTGGTCAAAAAGCGCGCGTAAAAGATGGTCGACCAAACTGGTTCGACAAATCAAGAGTTAAAAGCTCATGATGGATTACAAAACCATATCGAGTCTATGAGGTAGACGCAGTAAACTGCGGGCTCAGACCAGGGGAGGGTTTGACCAGGGAAAGGAAGTAGACACACTGTTTGCATTTTTATTTATCCCCGTTAATTAAATTGTTTTCGTAGCAAATACGTACTGATTCATTCGCCCTACGAGCGTTCTGGTCGAATAAATGCCAGCACGACTGTGTAGGATAGAGCTCATTGACAAGCAATATACAGATTAGTGATCTTCCCCACTACAAGTGTCTTTTCGGTAAGCTTCCCTAGTGAGGGTTGCTTCAGGAGGATCCTTTAATGAGTATATCGAGCGGAACTGACGTTTAGTAAAACTTACACGTAAAGCCGCCAGATATGCTCCAGGAGCCGCCGCAACTTTTGGTCCTCTTTAGGGTTCATTAAGTGGGTATGTACTACTTGGATATGAATTGCACACTATCGGCAAGATATAATCACGAGCAAATCACTGAATCTCTCAATTAGGATACTCAAAAAACATCCTGCAATATCGCAATTGCGTGCCAAAGAAAAATGGGATGAGATGTGCAAAACATTGAGGTAAAAATACCAAAACAGTGGGATTTGTTTGAATCTCCCACTAACACAAGTATTTTGCATATGAATGTCCTGTCAGTTGCGTAAATGTGGGTGTACATGTGAAAGTTAAGACTGATGTGTTCAAAGACGGCAGAAGCCACCTGGGGACTATTGAGTGGTTTTTTACCAGTTTATGTGAACCTATCTTCCATGAAATCAGTGTTTCGGATGCTCACTTTGTTCAAATGTCAGTACAAGGACTTGCAAGATAACATCCAACCAAATAACTCAAGAATAGTGTATACTTGAATTTGATGTTTCCAAACTTTGCAGGGTTCTGACTTTATAGCATAATTGTAGCTAGACAAACGGGGGTGAATTTTGTCTGTGAGTCTTCTTCTACTACGTTTATGCTTTTTCTGGCTTTATCCAGGTGTATTATTTGCTTTTTGTTCATAGGTGTGATGATTTGTTTGCATACGCCTACAAAAACCTAGTAAGACTGCTTTTTCGACTTCGAAAAGAACCATTTTTGTTTTCTCTTATTCTGAACAGCTGCAGGTAAAAAGCGAAGGTTGTTAGGCACCTTTCGACTTTTGAATAAGCAATACTATGACGTAAATTTCAATAGGTTGGCTCCTCACATCATTGAGTAGACTTCACAAAAAACGATAAAGCAACAACTAAAGTGGTATGAAAGTCATGTGGTTTAGAGACTGGTTCCCAATTTTCACGTTGCAAAAACAGTTTTTTAACTTGAAGCTTAAAAATTTGTAGTCCAATATATATGCAAAGTTTCAGTCGCTTCTTGTTTACCCAAGATATTCTAAAGTGATAGGCCTCGTCATCACCTTTGTTACAGTTCACATACGTCTGTTTCGTGTATTAAGGTTGTCTCTCTGAAACTAGCATCGTTTCTATAGACTTTTTGGTTGTTCAATAAAACTATGGACAATTGGTTCACTGCAAAACTTCAGTGTGTCAAGAGGAACATGGAGGCGTCAATCTGAATGGCGTTCAGTAAAGAACAAGGTCGTGAAACAACATTATTTGAGTATTCCCTTCGCGTCCAGGCCAGACATTTCATTAGGCCCATGGTGGGATAGATGATACCAACTCGAACATTTCTCTAGGTAAATTGACGAAAAATCGCGAGGCTACACCTGCAGCACGGACTCTTGTGTATTGTGATCACCAAAACAGACGGCAAATGAGCCATGGTGTTCGACACAATCTAAATAAAATCGCAAATAACATCTGAAAGTACGAAAGCAGTCCAGCTTTTCATGCAAGTTATATTTAATGGAACATTTTCAAAGGGCATTTCCCGAGGCTTTATTTTCTAACAAATAAGGTCTAAAACATCCTTGTCAGCAGCCTGTTCTGCACTAGGTTAAATGCAGTTTGTATCGGGAGCTGCTTACAAACTTAATGGATCTTCTTTGGAGAACCTGTGTTAATTTACTTCATAGAATTGCTGCAATCTGTGCGGTTTTAAAGTCCGTGATATCCAAAACTGTTTTTTGTTATGACAATTACTTTATCTTGTTTGGTAAACCGAAAATCATTTGGACTGGTTCGACCTAGCGCATCGCGAGATAACATTTGATTTGCTTAGATCGCCAGGATCAATGGCCGAAAGACTGAACCCAAACCGACAGTGAACTGCACGGGATGAAAATTTTTCTGGCCGGAAAGCAGACAAGCTTGCTTTACATGGATGAGTGCTGTTGATAGATTTCGAAATCAGATTATAAATGATACCAGTGTAACGGTGATACTACTGATCGGGAGGCACGCGAGTAGTGTGTTTTTTCGGAGAATTTCGCTTTGCGTCGACTGAAAAAGGGAATTCTGTTGCGTGGGGCCACTTTGTAAAATTTGCTTGGATTTGACCGACGAATCTATAGGAAAGACTCGGTCGGGAGAAGATCTGTGTCCAGTTTTTGTAACTAAGATGCAGATTAGAGTTTTGCTTTCTTGTTCAATGGTCTGTAACCGGTCAGTTCGTATTTCCGAATAAATAACTCTCCAGCGAAGGCCTTCTTCCTTTCATTTGGTGCCATGACCAGGATAAAGATGAAGATCCCATGGCCGCAACCCTTTGAGGATGGGGATGTTTGGACCTTCCTGGAAAACTTTGAGGAAGTTGCGGAGGCTGCCGGGCTGGAGACCGACCGGGGTAATTTGGCAGCGCTGAAGATCCTCCTCAAGGGCCGGGCGAAGGCGGCCCTGGATGCGGCCAGAAGAGGCCCTCGGAAGATGGACTGGGCCACCGCGAAAGAAGTCCTTGAAGCGGAGTTCGACGCGTCGGCCGACCGCCAGGAGACTATGAGGCGGTTCAAGACGGCCAGGATAGCACCCGGATCGGACCCGACCTTGTTCTGCGCCGGCCTGCAGCAGTTGTTGGATCGCGCTTTGCCGACGGTGGACGGAGTGTCGCGACACCAGTTGCTGTCGGATCAGTTCGTCGAAGGTGTGCAGCCCGCGCTTGGTGCCCAGTTGCGGTTGGCACGAGCAACTGGCCAGTTGAGTGTGGAGGAGCTGCTGCGTCTGGCCCGGGAGCTGCCCCAGGAACCACTGGCCACGTTGCAGTCGCCGGAGAACAGTGATGCTGCATCAGTGGAGGAACTGCAAACCAGGGTGGACCAACACACCGAACAGCTGGCAGCCGTGAAGACGGAATCGCGGAGGTACGCTCGAACCAGCCGGTGCTACATGTGTGGCAAGCCTGGCCACTGGAAGAATCAGTGTCCCCGTAACCGTTATTTGGACTCGTCGATTTCACCTCCATTGTGTTTTACCTATTGAGTCACCTTCCGTTTATGCAAACAATCAATAGGTCTCACAAGTAATAAATGGGGGCTTCCCAACTTCTGCTATAATCCAGGCAGACAAAAGCGCGCACAAGAAATTCGTTCATTCGGATCACGGGATCATCGATTACTAGATGTCTCATGGGAAAAGCCCATCCGTGTGATACCCACAGTTCATCGTTGATCTTGTTGTGTAGTTCAAAACCAAGATTTCCAGTGATTCATTACCTATATAATATATATAATATATATAATATATATAATATATAATATAATAATATAATGGGCGTTGTACGCAGAGAAGGCATTGATTACAAACTCGCGTCTACCTAGAAAGGACTCTACAGTTCTCAATCCCTCCAAACCAATGTGGTTTTTCACATATCTCTCACGTAAATACAGCATGTCTTGCTGTCTGTGACTGAGGAGATCATTTGTTGTCTTCTCGCAGTCTTAATAAAATAAATTAGAGAAAAAGTCTGACTGATTCGCCAGTTTAACAAAAGGCGAACTCCATTCAGGACAAACTATGTTACAATTCTGTGTGACGATGAGCGACCTCTATTGAGAAACAAAAAGAACACAGAGCAGCAGTACAATCCTACCACAGCTGTTACATAGGGATCGACCAAACGAGATTTAAAACCAAAGCGACACATAACAGACTCGATCAGTGATGAAGGCAAGACTCTGATATCAGAAACTCGTTGCAAGAACAGCGTCTTTACATACCGTCATTAAAGAAAGACCAGTTGAAGTCCTCTGCAGCCCAAGCAGGTGCGTCTCTCATAAAATCCTCAATTTAAGAACTCATAAGAGCAGCCCTGTTGGAAAAGGGAAAGGTTGGGATTTTGTTTCATCATTTGTCCAAGTTCTCCATTTCAGCTAGCTAGTTTAAAAGGGACGGTTATGTGGTGGGTCCAGTGCTTCGTTCAGCTAATTACGAAAGAGAACTCAGCTTACATAATGCCACATAATTCAGGCATCGTGCGCTACACTGTCCGGGTAAAAAGATGTTTTGCGATCACGTTATCGGCTTGGCAGCTGGAAGCACTGTACTACTGGTCCGCTAGAACAATAAAACCAGGCAATTACATCAACGCGCTAAATTTGGTAAACCGCATCCGTCATCAAAAGCAAAATATAAAGTGAGGGAGGATAATAATTTTCAGTTACAAAACTATTTCTAGGCACAAAGTACTTCATTTGACCGGGTCATAAATCCAAAAGCATTAATGCTGTAAATAACTTCAGTGTCTTTAATGAATTACAAATTTCAGAAAAATGAGCGGTCATCAGATTATTAGATTTTAGTAGCGGGGTTTTCAACCTTTTTAGCGGATAACCACCCATGTCGTGCAGTGTTAACCTGTGGTGGAAGCCAAGAAACATATCCGGTTATCATTTCCTCAGCAGTACGTTTCCCATAAATCCTCGCAAAGATTCAAACCTATGGATTTTAGCTCAGTAGCTGAAGGCTGTAATATGGGGTCGTGGGTAGTTGATTATCTGTATGTTTAAAATGAACGCCGCTGGAAGCTCATTTTTCAGTCACGGTATTTAGCCTACCTCGTCATACACCGATATATTCTGGTCATATAACAGAGGTCCGTTTTTTACACTAACTGAACGGTGAGTGAGTCATCGAAAATATCTACAGCACAAATTGACTAACATTATTGTTTTCTCGACATCTTCTGGACAATAGAGATCGAGAAAATGCAAGATGAAGAGAGTGGTCCATACAAATAAAACAAGCATATAACGTAATCCGTGTGTGTGTTTTGATTAGACTAGTCACGTGGAGACTCGGTTAACGCACAAACTCGGGGTGCTTGAGCGAAAAGCGGTTGTAGCATGTGTGATCAGACACTGACATTTAACGGATATGATACATAGATAGGCAACTGATACATCAATCAGAAAGCCATGTTTGTACTAGTCGCCTGACTCACCCCACTCAAATAAGTGACCAGTGAGTTGGCAAGGGACTATCCAGGACTGGTTATCAATCAGAATGGGTTACGCTCCTTGATTTTCTTGCACAATTGCCGTGCCGTTCCTCCTACGTACTTCACTGCACCGCAACATGTGAAGAAGCAGAATGTCATGCTTTGAGCGTGGACCAAAAGCTTATCTTTCATATACAGATATATCGGCGGCGTAGTTTTCATCCACACTTTGAGTGAAAAGGTTGGAATTGCGTAGTGTAGACGCCGAGTTAGACAACCTGCGCCAAGATCTTCTTCAAAAGCAAGAATAATTGAAAAAGATTGAAAGGCCTCCCTTTCACAATTATAGCACACATACGTTTCGGCATGAAGCTGTCCAGGTAATCATCCTCAAGAAGCGTTGTACCGAGTGAGTGAAGTTCGGCCTTGAGATTATTTTCAGAGCAGATTTTTCTTGCACTCTCAGAGGACACTGATATAAGTTGCGTTTAAGCATCGGTAAGATAAAGGTATTAAATTCAATGCACTGCCCAGTTCAAGTTGATTCATAGCAAAGTGAGCGTCTAGGCCATCAGTTACTTTTAGCGGCTAAATGTTCCGGAAATGAAAGGAGTCGTTATTTTACTCTTCAGATGTTATTTGAATGGCCTGGGTTGCTTGATTCTAATGTGCTAAAATCTCCGGTAGCTCTGAGGACTTGTCCAAGACGGTGAATATATCGTCTACATATCGCCCTTAGAAATGTATCTTCTCTATACCCGGGAGGAGTTGACGGCTTTCAACGGTTGCGTAATGACCAACTGGCACGAAAACCAGTTTGCTCAAATTTGTCGACCTAGTGAAAGGACGCTAAATCATGTCTGTGCGTGTATGGGTCGGTAGCTGTAGACCGAGTCCCATTAATTGGCGTTGGTTAAAATTTAATCTATAGAGTCAGTGGAAACATCTTATTCCGGTGTAAAAAGGCTATGAAATACAGCGATTGATTTGCGTTGTGCCAGGATTTATTAAGTAGCAAACTACATGGCCTGTTATAACTTCATGCAGTGATTGCAACCTTTGGTTTGCAACTTTTTCATTATGGTGGCTATACAAAGCATTGAATATGCGTCGTTTTTTATGAAGAATCTTGTATAACTGACTTCCGGTGAAGCGAAAAATTAGTACTTTCCTGTAAACCCTCCTCGACGTGTATTAGTTGCGTTTTCGCCTGTCAACTCGGTGAAATAACCCACCTGAAAGTTGTCCAATTATGGGATTTAAGGGTTTATTCTCACTAATTAATGGCAAACCGCGCTCAACTGAGTGATCTAGCAAGCTCCCTGCCTGACTAAATTGTTTTTTTGTGTGACAAAGTCAAACCTGGCTGATTTGCTTATCCAACCCCAATGGCACCGAATTATATATCCACCGCAGCTGCGTATGTGCGCGCATTCAGCGCAAAATAACCGCACATGTTCTAGCCGCAAGGCTACCACAAACTCACCCTTAAGCTGGCTATCCAGATGTTTGGATCACTTCCGATACTGAGAAGAAAACCGCAGAATTCACGAGCAACGCATTGTCGGAAACGATCCGATGCAAATTTATGTTCCTCTTTCGAGCCGACTTCAGTGACTTGGTGTGTGTTCGCACGTGCAGCTGCGCCTATGTGGATAATTATTTTTGATGGTCTGCATCTAGGTTTTGGACAGATGAAACACAACAGCAACAGACGGCCAACGCCAAATTGCTGTATCCAATTGCGTCACGTTTAATGAGTCCCTAGCGAGAGATAAATGACGAATTCGCAAAGGGAATAGGAGAAGACATTCCGGCTCTTATTTTTTACCGGACC